GCGTCCTGGGTCGAAGACTAAGACGGACGAGTTTTCTGTATCGCGCGTATTCGGCCAGCCCATTCCTGCTCAGAAATTTCTCCGTATAGACAAAACCCGAAATAAAAGAAAACAGTATCTCAAGTACCTCCATATGGCTTCGCATTGGTCTGTATAATCGACATCACGATTCTGGAGGCAGACTCAGGGGGGATTCCTTCCGCGGGAAGGATGTGTGGAATCGATACGTCGTCAGCGTCATATTCACCCATGGGGGCAAAAGAAGCCGACACGGATGCGTCGATGTGGCGATTCACCCTATCGAACATGGACTCCCTCGCGAAACATCGGTGGAAATCGTCTGTGGGTCTGTGTTCTCAACGCAGTCTGGAACAGTACTTCGGCATTACTGAATTCCGATATCGCGTCCGATAATCGAGGGACAGAATTCTTCGAAAGGAAGAATCCGCCAGCCTTGTCCGCTGTGGAGCAAAAGAATCCCCTTTGCGAACTCTGTCGAGCATCAGAACTTGCTCTTGGGGAGATTCTTTCTGGAGCATCTTTGCAGTACTCCTGCACGGTGCTGGCCCCTTCGAAAAATGCTCTCCGGGGATAGGGCTCTAAAGCGCGCGTGGAAATGAGGTATTTTTTTTCTATGCAGCTACTGTATGATGAGAGACGACTCTTGAAGCTCCCCGCTTTTCGCGCCGTACTGTTCCTGACCGTTTTCGGTTTAGAGATTCGAGCCCCCAGGAAGGGCTGAATCGGGCTTTGCGGTTGGCGGGATGCATCGAGGCTTCGAGGAGGGTTCCGTAAGCATCACGAGCCTACAGGATCTTTCTCGTGTACGGAGCTGTTCCGAAGATTACTTCATCGCGAATTATTCATCACTGTGGACTTTGGCGGGGCTCGGAAGCGCTCCCGCTTCTGAACAACAACAGAGCACTCCTACACGACCTCGATCCGCGGATCGAGACCGCCCAGCGGAGTTTCTGGATCGTTTCCCGAACGATTTCCCCTCCCGCAAAATACCTCGTTCCGATTCCAGGACGGAACCTTCCGGAGAAGCGGGACGATATTCGAGATCTCTTGTCTCATGGAAACGATTGTGGCCGGAAGGAAATTCGAAATCCCGTCGGAAAACCCGTCTCTGGAGAAATTATCCAATAACACCTGGATTATCAAATCATTCGAATCCGAAGCCGTATCCCTTGAGGAATTCTGGGGGGGTTTCGCTCCCACGGACAGTGCCGCCGGACGGGGTCGTCGTCACGCACAGACAACTGTGGCGCTCGGCTTAGTGGCTATTTTGTTCTTATTCGTATGGCTCTCCACGTAGTTTCCAGAGCTCGCGACACGTACTCGCACGTGCCCGTAGATCTCTCAAACGAGGGGAAAACTCACCTTTTCCCGCGTGTCGATGGCAGACGTAGAGGCACACTTCACCGATGAGATTCGTAGTTAGATCCTTCGCTGTTGATGTTGCTTCTACTGTTGATTTTAGTATTCCAAGATAGTGTTGTTGCTATTGTGGTTTCTGTCAAGGTAGCGGATCTTAGCGCTGCGAACCTCAGGTTTGCAAGTGCTGAAGTTTTCCGTATAGCGAAGTTTGATGTTCTCAAAACTGTTGTTGTTGAATGAGATGACGGAATGGCTTCGTAAAGTGATAACTAATGCAATGATGTGTGCAGAGAGTTCACCACGGCAATGGCTACATCACTTGCAAAATGGCAGATCGGACAATCCCAGGCGATTTTTTGTCCGACCCGTTGGCACAAAGCGTTTTCACGGTGATGATCTTGTTGTCGGCGCGAGACGCTCGAGCTCTGTTGATCACGGCGAGCGCTCGATGAGAATAACATCTCCACGGATGCAGATCGTCGAACCCACGAAGGCCATTACGCAGGGTCGTGGTCCCGGAAGGTGTTGGTAGTATCACCCAAAGGCTAATCTTTGGCGGGTGGTACAGCCTCAGAATTACACTCGCAGCTTCGGGAGCGCTTTGACAGCAACCTTCGCCGCCGTTGGCCTTCATTCAAGTGAAGGCCGGGAGTCTCATGCGAGCCTGGTGGTCTTACCACCGAAGTCTCGCCATGTTGGCCGTCACGTGACACTGCAAGACTCTGACCGTCTGTTTGGCTCCGCCCAAATGGAGCGCGCAATTTTTCCCCGCGGGAATCCCGTTCGCCTCAGGCTGCCCTGCATCGAGACGGTCCGTCGAGCTGCATGCCCGGAGTAAGCACCTGAGTTCCGGAGACTGAGACGGCAGACTCGACGAAAACCTACCGGCGACCGACTTCACCGGATATATCCTGACAAAGGATGGCGGGATCAGTCTGGGATTCCGAGCTGTTTCCCTCCTGCAAAGCTCCCATAACATGGGTGTGAAATCCTTACAGAATATTCCTCGGAACGACGAGCTGGAGCAAGAGCTGAAAAGATTATTCACGTCATCTGCCAGGGGGAGGGGACGGTTTTCCGCGTTCGGCAGCGTTTTCAGTGGCGAAACACGGGACCCAGTCAGGAGATGGGACTCAGTTGGGAGCAGACGACTTTCTGCTCCTGGGAGCTCGTCTCCCGGCGTTCGAATTCGAAATCTCTCCGAGTTACGGTCCGATCTCAAATCTGCTCCATTGGAGTGATTTCCCTCCCCACGATTCGATCCCGATCAGCCCAATCGAAACGCCTGGAAGATATCGCGGTCGCATGGAGGATCTCAAGAGTCTCTCCCTTACTTCCCCCTTTGCGACCCCCCGCCCGAGTCTTGTCAGTCTTGTCGCGCATCATCGGAGAAGTATACCGGGCATTCTCTGCTCGATCCCTCAGCACATGAAGTCGCCTAATCCGACTGGGAACCACACTATGCTCTCAAGGATTCATTTTCTTCCCTCATCTTAGCTGCTCGCTCCATGACTCGGGTCTCTGGGCCGGAGGCTCCTGTCTGGTGGATGGGAAGGGGGGAGCGGCTCGGTGGCGGGACTTTTCGAAGTGGGCGAACGGGAACGCTATTCGGAGCATCAGGGCTCCTGGCATTCCGACGTCGCAGAGGCCACTTGGGGCATACCTCGACGTAGAATTCGGGAACACGGAACGCTATCGTGGTGATAACAAGGACCACCTTCCTAACTTGGACTCGTTCCCGGAGTCAAAGTCGATCGATGGGGCGGACAATCGATCCCGTCGCGGACTTGACGGGAGATCTCGTCTCCTGAGATGGCGTTGAATCTGTACCTACAATCATTCCATTGATCTTATGGAGGGAGTCTCTCCAATACAGAGACTTACAGCTGTGATTGAGCTCATTGACTCACAATGATTTCACCTAATATTCGGCCCGCGTACCGTGGCACATGTGCATCTGTATATCCGATATATGTACCTGTGTATGGGCATATGAGAACGGGGTCGGTATCTTGATTCGGAGACTTCAGGAAACATCTTGTTGACTTTAGCTCTCTGAGTTCCAGGAAATGACCTTCATCTGCCATCAGTGTTATGACCGGACTGCTCAGGGAGTTTGTTCGAATCATGAAGCATTCAAGTAGAGCGGAGAACAGGACTCGATGAGATTCGCAGTCCAGTTCATGGATATCGGGATTCCTCCATTTCAGGCAATCGAATGCTCAGCTCTCCCTTGTTCATGGAGGAAGATTGTCGCTAAACGAAATATCGTTTAGAACCCCCGGTGAATGGCTAGTCCTAAGAAAGCCTGCAGCTGGAGTCCACGCGGGTCCTTGTGTAGTCCGAAGCAGGGTCTCGGAATCCGCGTCCCATGGGATTTTGATGCGCTCCTGGAAATGCTCCGATCGGTAATAGGCATGTCCCCATCAAGGATCATCCGGTCGAATATGCCGGACCGAATCATCTGCGGAACGAAGACTTGGTTGGAAATTCTCTGCAGCCCTAGCTCGAGAAGAGTACTTCTCCATACCGCATTCAGTAACTGCAAGTGCGCCAGAATGTCTTGCTATATCAAATCCCTAAGGTGCCTCATTTTCGGAAACTCTGGAGTCGACGGAGGGATCTTCCAAAAAATCGATGTCCGTCAAGACGCCTCAAGCACTCGGGTCCCGAGAATCTAAAACGTCGAAACCCGATCGATGCGGGTCGGGCTTGTGAGCCAGTTTATCATCTCACAGTACATCACCCGAATCCTCCCGGAGGATATTTAGGCGCCAGGCGCACATTCAGCTTTTCGGATCTCATCGAATGCACGATCGCACAGGATTCCTGAGCATCATCGGGAATGTGGACACCTCATATGGGAGAGCTCTCCCTGGAAACCCCTCCCGCGCTACCTTCTTAGCACCTGACCATAGCTTCAACCGCTTCGTCGCTCCATGTAGGGGCCTTATTAGAGCCGTAGGTGATGCAGAGATGCATGAACACCGATTACGTGTTGTAGAGATCCAGAGCATCGAGAGAAAGACTCCGCAGCGGTAAATGAGGGGCGGAAACCGTCACGGCTGCCCTAAGTGGGGATTATCATTTCTCATGCTTTGATCATGCGACACTCGTCTTTGCGAAGCTTTTACTCCGAAACTCTTAGATATTTCTCTCGGGCGATCGCGTTGCGTGATGCCCGGTAGAGCATCGTAGAATCGGAATATCGATCCGGGAAAATTTCCTCCAACCTCGGCGCCGAAGTCGTAGGAGCCAGCGCTGACCGTGCTGATACTCATCTTCATTAATCATTATCGAGACTGGGCACCAGAGCGATCACAAATGCCTCAGATCTCTGGTCGTCGACAGTGCCTGGGAATAGCTACGATCGTGTTCCGCTGCGAAAATCCGGTCCTAAGCCGTGGTCGTGACGACTGACGTGAAGCCGCTGAGAGTCCATATCGAAATCCCGACCAGCCGAATGCCTAGGCTCGACGGAAAGTCCTAGATGACATATTGGCTTAGTCCTCTCGCGGCTCCTCCAGCGGATCCGTGAGGCAAGAATACGGAGCCCGGCGCCCAGGACAGAAAAGTTCCTCTCCTTCCACGCCGGATAATGAGAAAAAAAACGGATTCGATACCTCTCTCGCACTATACGCGATACACGAGTCATTATAATTTATTGCATTGTTTCCGTGAGTTATCATTCAAAATGAAAGGTGTGAGTTCATATGGGGAAAAAAGACCCTATCGAGAACGAGAGGCTCCTGGAGCAGGTCTTGCTCGAGACGAGAACTCGGCGCGCTAAGCCGCTGTTTTTTCTGCTTTGCCTGTGACGGGATCCGCTGCGGTGTGGACATCTGAATTCGTCAAATCGTCCTCATGATCTCTCTTACCAAGCCGCTCGAGCACCCGCGAGCTGAATCTTTCGACGTTCTCTTTGATCTGGAATCCCAAGGACAGGCATGAATGAGAGATCTCTTTTTTCTCCGTTTTACTGGCGTGAACTGAAGCGAGGCAGATTATCCGTTGATAAGTCTGGATTCCAAGGGCGAACGAGGGAAGCAGCTCACCTTCATCCACACTTTGTCCACTCTATCATCGATGGCGTCTCCCAGCTCGACAACGTTTCCTGTACTTCTGCTGTACACCCATGCGAGTAGGATGATTGTCAGTGCACCTGGAGACGTCGAAGAGGGAAACCTTAATCGAGGACTCCGGTGAGCACACCGACCACAAGACGGGCATACCTAGATTCCCTCCTGTGTGCAGTGGCGTCTACAGGATTTTTCTCCGAAGGATGCTAGTTCGGGTCTCCGCATGGGGCCGATATCCAACAAGGCGACTCGCTCTTATACCTTAGTATTACGAACACAATCCGGGAGGGGGCTAGAAGACCCCCACCCGTTCAATGCCCCCCCTCCCTGCAGACACGCCTGCTTCGATGCATCAATTTTCGGAGCCCGCCACACTCTCAGAGAAATCCATAGAGAGTCGGCATGACAATAGAGAGCATTTGATTCAATTCGATTCCAGTATCGATTTTACTGATCTCCGTCCCATCAATGATATCCCCTCGCCAGCACGCGCCTCGGGTTTTCGGGCTGGAAGCAATCTCATGCTCTGCACTCACCGGCGAACGTGTTGAGAACGTCATCCAGGAGAACGATACCTAGCCATCTCAGAACCTCGGCAGCGAAGAATAAGGTCACGCAAGTGAAGCTCAAGAGAAGCGGGGTGCGCAGCATCTGCGTCATTCTCGTCGTTTCGTTTGTCAAATGGAACTGAAGGTAACTCCTGTCTATCTGCGACAAGAGTTTCTCTCGGAACTTTTCACTTGTTCCCGTGGCGTCAATTGCCGATACGCAGTCGAACCACCGCTCGGCCGATTTCCTCAACGTCGCGTGGAGCTGTTCCAAGTTTTCCGCGGGGATGTAATTCGGCTGATGCATGAGGAGGTTGCTCATTCGCTCTTCGTAGAACTCTAGGCAAAGTATCACGTTGATTATGTTCCGGTTTTCGACGCTGACGGCGTCCAAGAACGTCGCTCCACTGCGAGATTCTGAGCCGAAAATGGCGTCGTATTTCCGGAAACACCTCAGGATTTTCCCGGTACTCATCTCATCGCCCTTGAGATTCCTGTACTTTGCTTCTGCTGCCCTAGGTTTCGACACGATATTGCGGTCCTGATCGCCGGCATTCTGGTCCGGATCGTCGATCCGACTCATCTCGTCGATTAATGCGTTGAGACCTATCGGGGAGGAGATCGTAATTAATGAGTGGCCAGAAGAACTAATGGCTCCTAGAGCGTCTCGTCGATCTAGCGCTATCCGCGAGGGGTTTGAGGCTGCGGCGCAGCGAAGCGCACTGATGCGGTATCCAGACATATCGTACTCACTCTGAGCTCCTCGGAGGAACTCCTTCGCTATTCCCGACATTTTTCTGAGCTCAATCTTCCTCTGAAGTGCACGATCTAGGCTATGCACAGTAGGCCCGCATTGCGCTTCCTGGTCATGGGATCGCATGGATTCCTCTTTCGGCTTGGATTTGGGCTCAGCCTTCGATTCCGATTTCCTCGGGGGCTTGGTTGGTTTTTCCGACGGGGAAGCCGCTTCTGCTTTCGAATCAGCAGAAACCTTCGACATCGAGTCTATCGGGGTCTCTGATTCCTTCTCCTCCGGAAGCTTCGGCTCTCCTTTAGCCGGAGCTTCTGGCTTCGAATCTTCCGGGAGCTCAGGGTTGGCCGCTCCTCTAAGAGGCTCCTCGTACGCTCCTGGGGCTAGGAGCGGGGTCTTCACGCCATCCGTTGCAGCCTGGTGCTTCATGTTGTTCTCTGGAAACGAAGGTTAACTCCTGATCATTTCAAGATCTCTGACAGGGATTCGCTGATCTTGCCGAGGGACAACGGGAAAACACGAGAAGAAAGGTCTCAAGCCCCCACGATCGAGAAGAAATCGTGTCGTGCTTCACGTATATCTCAACGATGTTCCTCGTCGACGGGGCTGAGGGGCTGCGATCAGACAGTGATTCGTGAATGAAGCGTCCGGCGGCAGCTCAATGTTCAATCATCAATTATAATCAATATCCGCTTCGGTAGCGCAGGCATTGTCGTTGACAATTGATCTCTACCCCGATGATTCTCAAGGCTCGGGGCCGCCGAATCCCTCTATTAGACGAAACCCACGTCATTACGCAGAAAAGGTCAGATCGTGTGATTCCATGGTATTTCTTCCGCTCGAGAAGTTCGACTGAGAGCATCGACTCCGGCAAAGACAAAGCTAAACCGAATAACCAAGGACACAGATCCGACTCACCGTTTTCCTCTCTAGTCAAAAATTCACGGGGATCGTTCACCGCCAGCTGAAAACCGCGACCTCCTCACGAAATTCTGGAAGTGCACGTTACTTCTTTTCTGAGCGCTCAAACATCCGTTCACATCCAAAACTTGGATGCAAACCGGGATCGCAAAGACTTGAGAGACAGGTGAACTAAATAATTTTGTCGAAGAGCCTTCGAATAATTGGGGAATAATAATTCGACGATGGTCAAAAGTTATCGATTGCCTCTCGGTGATAGAGCGGAACGCGATCGACTCTGTATCTGACCTCCTCAGAGTTCATATTCAATCGTCAGACACCGGAACTGTCGATCACGACTCTCATGCTCGCTCGTGATCCGCATGAAGTGTATGGATAAAGGATATATCCGGCCCATATCGCGGTTCGAGATGAGATGCCGAAGTTTTTAGTGGGCACAGTTCCGAGGAGGAAAGAGAGTTTGGTTTTTCATCTTCCCCTTGCCGAGTTTATGGTTCAATGGATTAGCATGATATACGTTCCGTGGAAGCAGTGCGTAGTCGCAGTCAACTTCATTCTATTCCGGTCTATTTCGGTCCGCATATCCCTCCTATTGATATAATCAACAATCGTACACAGGGTCAGGTTGACAATGTCCATGCGTAAAACTGGATTGCTTGTGTTTCGGCGACACTGACCTTATTCTGCTTGTCAATCTACACCTCTTCTGGTGATACGTGCAGGATGCCGCTCGCATCGATTTCGGAGCTCATTTCATCTTCGGTACTCCCTCGGGAGCGGGAGGAATCCCCGTGAGATCGACGGCGCGGAGCTTCTCGCTGTTCTCGAGGAGCCGGAGAACTTCAGTGTCGCTGCTCAAGTCTATGGCTTGCTTGCGTTAGAACTCCCGAGAAGATTTTTCATTAGGAGATCGATGGAGAATCTTCTAGCGAAGCGTGTGTCGCGAGCCATGAATATAACTTCTGATACTTTATTGTCGATTGATCGGATCGGAACGTCGACACTCCTTACCCGAGATGAAAGATGAGAACGTTGTTCTTCCCTTCTTCAGCTTATACCTCGTTCAAACTGTGGGCGATGCTCGCTGCCGAGGGCTCGTTGATGATTCGAAGATAACTGAGTGAGTCCCGCCATATTGCCAGCGTCTCTGGTTGCTTCCCGTTGTGGGTTCCTGAACTAGGCAGGGACCGAGATAGCAGCCTGGTGCTCTGGATGGCCCGGATAGTTCTCGGTGATCTCGCGTAGGTGCTCACGGAGCATGAAGGCAATTTCTTCCGGGGAACAAGACTCGCGCTCTCCTCTGAAGTGCACCTCAACTTTCGGTCGACTCGGATCATTTGCGGGGCGGAGAGGCCAACGCTCGATTTCGGTTCACGCTCGGACATCCGTATCAGGTTTGAGCGCGGCCTCGTTTTCCGCGCTCTCGCCGATGAGTTCTCAGGTGTCCGGAAAATCGATAGACGCTGTAGTCATCCTGTGGTCGTGAGCGTCGAGATCCCTTTCGAATTATTCGCCGTTTTTGAATTCTATGACTTTGAAAGTTGAGGTACCCGGGTCGGCTGCCCTCGCCTCGGTCATAGCTCTCAGGGTACCTTTCACTTCAAGAATCTCACACTCAGGGAAACAGCACTTCTTGTTCCCGCGACACTAAACGGTCGCTCGGAGCCTAAAAGACCTCGAACATCGGCAATGGTTTTCTCGCTCGATCTCAGTGCGCCTTTTCCAGAAGCTCTATCCACCGATTTCAGTGTCTTGCCGTCGAATCGGAGAATCCGGAGATCAAAGAATTCCTTTCGGGGCCCGGTAAACGTTGGGGATCGAGTCGACGGGGCTCGATCAATTTCGCAGGTGCTTCTCGGGTTCGAAGCTAGCGGCGCTCTATCTGAACCTGAGGGGCGATCAAGCAAGCAAGAGGAACGAAGTGTGACGCGAATGGCGAGGAAACTCGAGACCGCTTGTTTGATTTTACCACGACCGGCTGGACCCATAATGAGAGAAGGTGACGATTGGAACGAATCTCGCCTGAATTCGATGTCGATTCAATCGATTCTCCTCCATGCTCGTGATCAAATCCTTCTGTTTCCTCTAGCTCCGTAATTTCAATATCGACGTCGGCGTCGGAGCAAGCAAATGTTGGACATCATGAGAGCGATCCGTGAATATCGGCACGTACTGTGCCAGCTCGGAGAGAAGATGGATCTTTCGAAAAATAGCGATTATTCCCCCGAGTTTAAAATTTTGAGCCGTCGTCAGAGATCCATTATTATTAGATTATTCGCTGCCAAACCTCGGCCTCGTGCGAAGAGTCCGAGCTCGACGACGCGACGGTGCGTGGATGAGTGTTGCCAGAGTGTCGATAGGTGTCTCTGACTATTCCCGCGTATCGAAATCTGCACGTACGAGCACTAAAATCGAGCAGCAACTACCGAGCTACTCAGGGACTCTCCGCGAAAAATATACTGCGATTCAACTCGGTTTATATCAACGATTTCGAGTGGGAGCCTCCGCACCGAGAAGTTCATACACGAGCACATATGTCCCCCATTTTTTTGGAGTCAACGTATCTGTAGGGGAATCGGGACTCACTAATAACTGAGACCATTGCTTCGAGGTTGAATAAACTTTATTGACATCGCATTCCAACTATATATATAGGGGAACTTAAAACTTCATTAAGTAAGAGATCGTTGAACTTGGGCTGCTCCCATGTGCGAGTAGAAATCCTTGTTTAGAGATCAGAAACATCTTCAGTCAACTTCCTCGACTGTGGGGCCATTTGAGTCCCGTGGACCCGAGGGCATTCCCGTCCCGCCGGTTGGCATAGGTCCTGATGCGCTTCCCTGGTAGATTTTGGAAATGATGGGGCGGCAAAATTGTTCGAGCTCTTTCTGTTTGTGCTCATACTCATCGGTCTCCGCAAGTTGGTTCGCGTCGAGCCATTGGAGAGTCTCTCGAATACGCTCGAGGACCGAGTTTTTCTCCGATTCAGGGACTTTGTCCTTGATCTTGTCGTAGTCCGTCTCGAAGGTTCCCTTCAGACTGAAGCAGTAGGCTTCGAGAGCATTCTTCGCCGCAATTTTCTTCTTCATCTTCTCGTCCTCATCGCGGTATTTTTCGGCTTCGTTCACCATGCGATCGATGTCCTCCTTCGAGAGTCTTCCTTTGTCGTTGTTGATGGTTATCTTGTTCTGCTTCCCGGAAGACTTGTCCACGGCCGAAACGTTGAGGATTCCGTTCGCGTCGATATCGAATGTGACTTCGATTTGAGGAACACCTCTCGGAGCTGGAGCTAGTCCCGTCAGATCGAATACACCGAGCCTGTTGTTGTCCTTCGTCATTGCCCGCTCTCCTTCGAAGACTTGAATCGTGACCGCGGGCTGATTGTCGGCGTACGTCGTGAAGGTCTGAGTCTGACGAGTGGGAACGGTGGAGTTTCGTTTGATCAGCGTTGTCATCACTCCACCAGCCGTTTCCAGTCCGAGCGACAGAGGTGTCACGTCGATCAGGAGCAGATCTTGAACAGCTTCGGATTTGTCACCGTTCAGAATCGCTGCCTGAACTGCGGCTCCATATGCGACGGCTTCATCGGGATTGATCGACTTGTTGAGCTCCTTTCCGTTGAAGAAATCTTGAAGAAGTTTCTGAATTCGAGGAATGCGGGTTGATCCTCCGACCAGGACGATATCGTGAATTTTCGATTTGTCCATCTTGGCGTCCCGAAGTGCTTTCTCCACGGGCTCGAGTGTGGAACGGAACAGATCCGCGCAGAGTTCCTCGAATCTGGCCCTCGTGATGGCAGAATAGAAGTCGATTCCTTCAAAGAGAGAATCGATCTCGATCGAAGCTTGAGTCGAAGACGACAGAGTTCTCTTTGCTCGTTCACAAGCGGTTCTCAGACGACGGAGGGCTCTGGCGTTCTTCGAGATGTCCTTGCGGTGCTTGCGACGGAACTCTTCAACGAAATGATTCACCATGCGGTTGTCGAAGTCTTCTCCACCGAGATGAGTGTCTCCGGCTGTTGATTTGACTTCGAAAACTCCATCTTCGATCGACAGAATGGAAACATCGAACGTTCCACCACCGAGATCGAAGATGAGAACGTTGTTCTCGCCCGAAGTCACTTTCCTTTTGTCCAGGCCATAGGCGATGGCGGCTGCCGTAGGTTCGTTGATGATTCGCATGACGTTGAGTCCTGCAATGACTCCAGCGTCTTTGGTCGCTTGGCGTTGCGAGTCGTTGAAGTAAGCAGGAACTGTGATGACAGCGTCGCGAACAGGTTGTCCCAAGTAGGCTTCAGCGGTTTCGCGCATTTTCGTCAGAACCATCGACGAAATTTCTTCCGGGTAGAAAGATTTGCGCTCTCCTTTGAAGTCCACCTGAATCTTCGGTCGGCCTCCGTCGTTCTTCACTTGGAATGACCAATGTTTCATGTCGCCCTGAATGCTGGTGTCGTCATAACGTCGTCCGATGAGTCGTTTAGCGTCGAAGACTGTGTTCTCAGGGTTCATGGCGGCCTGGTTCTTGGCAGCATCACCGATGAGTCGTTCGGTGTCGGTGAAGGCAACATACGAAGGAGTTGTTCGGTTACCTTGTTCATTGGCGATGATCTCGACTTTCCCATGTTGGAATACACCAACACAAGAATAGGTGGTTCCCAGATCGATTCCGATCGCGGGTCCTTTCACCATTGTGGATGTTGAATG